GGCTCGAACTCACGGACTGTGAGATCATGACCTGAGCCGAAGTCGGACGCTTAACCGACTGAGCCACCCAGGCGCCCCATCTGTGTTCTGTTCTTATGCCAGTTATCACAATGCTTTCATTGCTGTGGTTTTGTGCGATCTGACGCCTGGTGGTATAGGTCCAACCTCATTATCCTTCTGGTTCAAAAACATCTTGATACATTTCCACATGGGAAGTAACTCTGGCCTACGTTTTAGACATCTATGTACCTAGGTTTTCAATTGTAAAGACATCACATCATAAATAGTAATATTCTCTTCCCACTCTGACATTCCTCTATCTTTAGTAACTCTCTCTTCCCTTCTCTCTTGCAGTTTTTTGGGACCTTCTTCCTTTTCAACTTGATCGAATCTGTCATGTGTGGGTCCTTTCCAAGAACCAGCATTTAGTTTTACAACTTTGACAACTCTGTTGTCTGTTTCCTAATGCACCGAATTCTGCTTTTACCTTTATCCTATTTTGTCTTATTTTCAGTCTTTCTTATATCCTGAAAATACACTTAAGCCTATAAATCTTCCTCAGAGTACCATTTTTGCTGCATCCGGGTGTTTCGGTTTAATTTACAGATCTGAACCCTGCAGGGTACTTGTAACTCATTTCTAAATAGCTTACAACTTCTACTTTATCTTGAAAACAATAAATATTTGGAGATATACTCTTACATTTCCAAATGGAACAAAGTGGTTTTAGCTATCTCATTGTTAATTTCTCATTTTCCTGTGTTATAGTCTGTGAACGTGGCCTGTATGATTTCTTTATGGGATTTTTTTCTGAGCACTTTAAAACATAGTCAAATTTTGTGACTCTTCCATATATGTTTTATTTTTTTTTTTAATTTTTTTTTTCAACGTTTATTTATTTTTGGGACAGAGAGAGACAGAGCATGAACGGGGGAGGGGCAGAGAGAGAGGGAGACACAGAATCAGAAACAGGCTCCAGGCTCTGAGCCATCAGCCCAGAGCCCGACGCGGGGCTCGAACTCACAGACCGTGAGATCGTGACCTGGCTGAAGTCGGACGCTTAACCGACTGCGCCACCCAGGCGCCCCTTCCATATATGTTTTAAAAGTGGCATGAGGATTTGAAAAGTGTTCCTATTTTCGGTTTTATCAACCTTGTTAACTGTAGTCCTCTGTTTTTTTTGTTTGTTTGTTTAACTGAAATGTCCAATTCTGAGAAGACAATTTATGCCTTCATCTATGGCTGCCGTTTTCTCATTGCCACCTGTGTTTCTAGCAATTTGGGAGAAGTATACATACTTACAGAAGTTCACGACTTAGGACTTCTGACCAAGCACAGCTCTTAGCAATAGAAAACATATCTTTTTTTCCCCATGCACTATGTCTTAGATTCTATTTTATCTGATATTAATATTCTTTCAGCTACTTCCTTTCAGCGAGGATTTTGCTGAGTGTGTCTTTTTCTTGTTTTAAACTTTTCAGTGATATTTTATTTTTGTTATTATCTCTTATTAACAAGATTTAGCTGGATTTTGACTGTTATTTTGATTCCAAGGTGATTTTAACACGCTCACACGTCTATAATTACCGAAGTGTTTACATCGGGGCTGCTATCAACCATGTCACTCTGCTCCCGCCACGACGGGCTTCGTTCTCTCCTGACATCACGCCCACCACATCCGGCTTCAGAGCCTTTGTACATGCTGCCCCTCTTCATTCAGGTCTTGGTAAATGTCTCCTTGCTCTGCAAGACCTTCTCTCATGCTATCTCTTTACTGTGGCTTTTTTTTTTTTCCTTCAATGCCATTATTACCTGAACAGATAGATTATCTGACCTAACGTCTGTCTCCCTCACCACTGCAAGCTCCAGCCGCATCTGTCTTGTTCACCCCTCCTGGCATTCGAGCCACCTTAGACTAAAAGATTACAGTGTGTTTCTGGAAGATTCGTGAGTCAAACTGGATTTAAGCTTATGGCTTTTTGTGGTTTTACAAATGGCAAAATGGGAGGGTCTGAATTCTCCTTGAAGCAACTTTCATTGCTTGCAATGTGTTTACAGACTCTGAAATGCCGATTTTAGAGAATATTGCATTTTCAAGCATCTTTTATTATACTTTTATTTATTTATTTATACTTTAATCACAATATATATTACACATTAAAGGAAACCTTTGTTGCTTTTCCAACGTGGCAAATAAGGTAATTCATTTAAAAAAATTTTTTTTTTCAATGTTTATTTATTTTGGGGACAGAGAGAGACAGAGCGTGAATGGGGGAGGGGCAGAGAGAGAGGGAGACACAGAATCGGAAACAGGCTCCAGGCTCTGAGCCATCAGCCCAGAGCCTGACGCGGGGCTCGAACTCACGGAGCGCGAGATCGTGACCTGGCTGAAGTCGGACGCTTAACCGACTGCGCCACCCAGGCGCCCCAAAATTTTTTTAATGGGTATTTTCCTTCTTTTATGTGCTTCTTTGGAAACTCCAATAGGAGTACAGGAGACGCAAAAGGAGAGTAAAAAAGAAATTTAAAAAAATCACACAAGGCTAATAAATCACGAATACATCCTTATTTCTGAATTTCTATACTGCCAGTAGGAAAGAAAAAAAAGCTATACCGCACTCTAAAAACCTTTAGACCAGGATTTAGCAAGTTAGAATCAAGTGTAAGGTAGGTTAGAAAAAAAACTGTACTGCACTCTAAAAACCTTTAGAGCAGAATTTAGCAAATTAGAATCGAGTGTAAGGTTGGTTAGAGCACAGATCACTCGGCACTGCCCCCAGAGATTCCGATTCACGAAGTCCAGGGTGGGGCCTGAGAAACCGCATTTCTAACAAGTTTCCAAGAGATACCAACGCTGCTGGCCTGGGGAAGACTCTTCAAGAAACTGTCTGAGGCCGTTATTTCAAATGCTCAGTTTGGGATTAAGGCAAGAGCTACCTAGCAAGAACTTGAAGGCATTAAAAATCATTTTCATCTGCTCTCTGGTCCTTTTTGAAACAGCAGCTCATGTACACCCCACCTAAACTTTCTTTCATTGCTTGGTCTGAGATTCTCTTAAAAGAGAAATTAAAAGTTTTGTTGAAATTTGGACAGTAAAAGTAGAATAAAATTTTACATGGTAGGATAGGTTGGTTCAGGTACAATGTGGACATATACTCATCCTAAGGATTTACAGCAAGAATCCCAGTCAAATGCCCCTAAATGCCAGACAGGTCAGTCAATACACATGAATAAAGGAGGCCAGACATTGAGAACCAGACCTAAAAAGGGCAGCTGCTGTGCAGCTGCAGACAGTTATGGTCAGGTCTTCCAAGTTTTCAAAATAAGCCAGCGATCCACCATTTTATCTAAAAGCTCTCAATTTTCAAACCTGAGCAACTACTCAAAGGTTTGTAAACACAATACAGGCACACAAAAAGGTCTGTGGGCCGGAGGCTGCCAGTTTACAAGCTCTGTGTACAGGGAGCCTCAGGACCCCCTCCCACCCGGGCCAGGCACAGTCCAGGTTGGGCAATGTGCTCACCTACTTGCGGCGCTCGTGGCCACTCCCTCCAGCAGCTGCCTATTCCCAGAATGGAAAGCACGCTCTCTAAACACCTATGAAAGAAAGCCTCTCTGCATAAGCAGCTTGCCCACCAAAACAACTTCTCAGCCAGTAATCCTAGTATGGGAAAACTATGGCAGAGAGAAGAGAATTCTTCCAACACTGGAGCTACCGATCCAAAAACAGTGATTAAAATGCCCGGAATTTCGGGATCACTAACTTTTATCAAAGAAAAGGACACTACACCTAGGAATACAGATTTGAGGATTCTGAAGCTTTCTGTCACAGTGATGGTATCTGGTATCCAGAAGTTATTTCATCTTTGCCTAGAGACTCACTCAACCGAGAAAATCAGTCCTTACAAATACGCTGAAGGCAACCACGTGGGCAACACCGAATCGCCAAAATAATTCAAATCTCACGAGTCTACTAATAAATGAGTGAACAGCTGACAGTAACACGTGATGCTGAAGAAGTAAATGAACGAACAGATGACAAGGCACACGAAGCGGGCTCTAACAGGGCTTCAGGGACTCAATAGTAAAACAGCCTCAGGTGGGTTATTCTGATGCTCAAATGACCTCTGTCACCGTTAGCACACACTATGACATTCCTGCTACTATACAGTGGTAGAAATTACATATGGGATAAGGAGGTCATTACCTCAAGGCCAGTGAGTAGGAGAGTAGAAAGACAGGGCCAGAAAGGCCTCCCAGAATCCAACCACAATGTCCAATCCAAATTCTTTCATAAGCAACATCAGAATGACGACAGAATTTAAGAGTGTAAAAGTTAAAAATCCCTAAAGAGAAAATTCTTTTCTAAAAATGTTCAAAAAAAGGAATGCAGACTCCTTAGCTTACTTTTTCCCCCAATTTTTTATTGCCTCTGCTCACTGAATCTCTGTGAACATTAACACGTGTCTGTGGTTGAGGGAGAATGTTCCACTGCAGAGAAAGGAAAAACACACCCAGTTTTTCATAAGAAACTTTGGAACAGTTTAATAGTCATCCTCAGGCAACATTCAGAATAGTCCTCTCAGAGAGTCTAAAATTAGGGTAATGATTAGCAAAACAGAAAAGACACCACACACCAGCATGAACTGCCCTCCAGTGTAATTCTTAACTATAAAGTCACAATCCCAAATCAACTAGAAATGTGGGTCCTTACTTGATGAGGATTTCTTTTACCATTAAGAATTCCAAGCTCGACAACAAGACAAATGGCAAGTGAATAAAGGATTTTTAGAGCAAAGAAGATGCCATTAGACCCAGACCTACTCAAATGTCAGTGAAGATGTCGTCTCGAACCCATGAGGCCCTCAGGCCAATGGCCAGAGGCTTACGCTGCACAAGAAAATGCTCTAGCGCTTTTGGTGAAGTGACAGAACCGGATGTGTGTTGTGGCAAATAACTCTGCCCAGCAGACAGAACCACTGGCTTCCAGCACTACTTACAAACTCATAGTCTCCATCCTGCGGCACTTTCCAATCTGAGGAGTTCCTCAGGGGGCCAGGTACACTTTTGCCGAAGCTATTGATCTGATTTTCCTTTTCTTTTTGTTCAAAGTATTCAAGGAACGATGGTTTTGCAGGCTGCATGGTCTCATCCCTTCCTGAAAACCAAGAACAACAAAAGGAGAAAAATGATATCTTCGACCTCAGATAAGTTTAATGGATACATCCATCTCCAGACGGCCTTCATTCGGCCTGTGTGTCAGTGGCTTTTTTAGAGAAGGACCCTGAGGAGAATCTAGTAAAAACCACAGGAAATGCACAAATGCTCACTCCAAATGCTTCTCATGGAATTTCAGAGGACTGTGGCCCCCCTCAAATACATGCAAATACTTCCCCAGGGCCCCTTTTTTTCTGGATGGAGAGACTTGGGTGATGTAAAGACCCCGAGTAAGATGCAAGTAGTATTTTGGGGGTCTCCGATGGCAACACATTCCTGTAACATTTAGACTTAAAACAGAGAAGCAAGCAAACACATTTACTTGTCATCTACGTAGACAACATTTTCTAGAGCCAACGGAGCAGAGAAGGGGAGTGATACAATAGGGTGACTCCCTTTTGATAAACTCATGATCGGACTGGACTAATAAGAAAAATATGCATGAAAAAGCAAATAGAAATGAATCATAATCCATCCACTCCAGGAAATATTACGTAACTTTTAAAATCTTATTTATAAACGGTTTACAATAAAGCTTAAAGTTAAAAACAGGATACGCTATTATATGTACAGAATGATCTCAACTCTGTAAAAGCATATATGTAGCGGGGAGAAAAAAAGACTGGAAGAAAATATACCAAAATGTTAACAGGGTTTGTCTCTCATAAGTAGATCTCAAGATCTCACAGAAGGAAAGATCTTGCAAGCTGGCATGGTCAGGGAAGACTGGTAGAGGGGGGCTTCGGCTGGGCCCCAAACATCCCTGAAGAAGAATCAGCACTTAGGTGGCAGGGCAGTTACACAGCAGAGGCAGCAGGTATGAAAACAGCAGTCAGTCACTAGTTAGTAACAAGGGCAAAAAGAAAAATTGTACCTGGCACGACTTAACAACCTAGCTAGCTGAATGTATCTACTTCACACGTCAAAGTAATCTGTACTTCTAATTAGTATTCTAATACCAGGAAGTACAGAAGTTTTTTCCCGGTGCTTTCCATGAATATGTGGGTTTATACTGCCCTTTTCCCCAGTAACCAGGAAAAAAGACCAGAAGGCTCAAAGCCTTGAGAAATGAATGGGGAGGGGCATCTGGGTGGTTCAGTCAGTTAAGCCTCCAACTCTTGATCTTGACTCAAGTCACGATCTTGCGATTCAGGAGTTCGAGCCCCATGTGGGGCTCTGCACGGACAGCACAGACCCTGCTTGGAGTTCTCTCTCCCTCTCTCTCTGCCCCTATCCCACTCGTGCTCTCTCTATATAAATAAGTAAACTGAAAAAAAATTTAAGAAGTGGATGGGGAGGGGTCTAGAAGAGAAACACCAACAAGTGTTTGTCCCATGCAACCTTATCTCCCGACACCCCCTGGTCCAGTGTCAAGCAGGCACCCTGACTGCCTCTCAGACGTTTGTCATCTCACTTTACCATTGCCAAGTTCAAGAGCAGCCAATCCTAGATCTGCCCACTTCCAGATGCTGCCCAAAGCCTACTTCACTGGTGCCTCCTCACTAATGAGGGATTACACACAGTATTTACTAAGATCAGTGATTATCTGGTGAGTGTGTGTGTTGTTTTGTTTGTTCTAGGTACCACATTAAGGGCTTTGCACGCTTATTTTATTTAATTGTTGAGTTAAATGTAAGGTATCATTTCATAATCTACTTCTGAAGGGACTGCAACAAAATAAAACCTGTAGAAGTGGAAGTGTTTTGGATTTGTCGACAAGTACTTTTGATCGGTCCCCCCCTCTGGGACCAGGAACAACCGTGCGGCAAGCCTCCACAAATCCCACACACAGACAAAGAGTACTTAGAGAACCTCCTGGAGCCATGTAACCATGGCCGTGCTAGCGACAGCTGTCACATATAGCACATGGTGTCCTTTCATACAGAATCTCCTGGCACAAACGATGTATGGTGTCCTTTCATATGGAATCTCCTGGCTAGACAGTCCAACCAGCTGACCAGGACAGGAAGTCCTGAAACAAAATAGAGAGCCCAAATGGCTTCAAAACAATTAGTTATTTAGAAAAACAGTGAATTGGATCCACACTTCACATCTTAAACCAGGAAAACTCCAAATGGGTAAAAGCTCCGACTGTAACAATGGAAACTATAAGCACTGTTAGAAAACTTGTGTGAATGCATTTAAAACCTGGGTGTGGAAGGGGTGCCTGGGTGGCTCAGCCTAATGGTTAGGTGTCTGACTTCAGCTCAGGGTCATGATCTCACGGTTCACGAGTTCAAGCCCCTGGTCAGGCTCTGCGCTGACAGCTCAGAGCCTGGCGCCTGCTTCAGATTCTGTGTCTCCCCCTCTTTCTGCCCCTCCTCCACTCATGCTGTCTCTCAAAAATGAATAAATAATAAACATAAATGTAAAAATAAAAAAAAACCTGGGTGTGGAAAAAGGCTTTCTACCTATGACAAAAACCCAGATGCAATGAAAAATGGAGAAATAAAAACCTTTTATGTAAAGAAAACATCATACATTTTTAAAAATTAGTAAGCACATATATAAGCTAAGACAAATGACAAACTGGAAGAAAATACTGGCAACAAGTACCATAAATTTGTTTAAAGAATTTAGGGGCACCTGAATGGCTTAGTCAGTTAAGCCTCTGACTTCACCTCAGGTCATGATCTCACGGTTCATGAGTTCAAGCCCCGCGTCAGGCTGTGTGCTGACAGCTCAGAGCCTGGTGCCTGCTTCCGATTCTGTGTCTCCCTCCCTCTCCACCCCTCCTCTGCTCATGCTCTGTCTCTCAAAAATAAATATTTTTTTTAAAAAGATCCAGATTTTGGTCCAACTATAAAATCCTGGGAAAACCATAGGTTCCAATCTGCAAAAAGAGGCCCCTGGACCATTATTTCCCACGCCCTTTTACAGCTCCGAAAATTTCCTAATCCTATGAGTTGGCAGTAACTTACGAAAACGTATTTATGCTCAGTTACTGATAACCATTCAAAAGAAGTTCTTATCTCCAGAGGGATTATCACACTTGATAACCACTAATCTAAAATATGCCACAGCTTAGATGTGTATGGGCATAAACCAAAGACCAGACCAAAGCAAAAAGTAGTTAGGACTCAACAAATACTTGTGACAAGACTGTCTCTGACTCTTTGAGTTTGTTGTTGTTGTTGTTAGCGGGTTTTTTTTTTGGAGGTGGCAGGGGAGAAGTTGTCTTTTTTAAAACAGATGGAAGAGGTGACCAAATTTTTCTTGGCCCAAACTGTAATAAAGATATCATCTAGAGATGTTGGTTATAAAAATGTTTTATATAAGTAAAGCTGAAGACATGAATGAATCTACTAGTAGGAGAAGCCAACTCAACTGGCAAGAAACAGCATGCCTTCAAAAAAGAAAAACAGTTAGGTGTATTTGTGATTCCTGTTATTTAGTGGTTCCAGAAATTAACTGACTGCATCACAATATTCTTCCTCTGTGTTAGACTGCTTCCGTATTAAGTTCACATGGATCAGTCAGCACTCCTGTTGTGACCAACATTTTCTTACTAACACTGTGATTATAGTACCTGTTTTCACTCTGATTTTGTAGACTGATAATTCTCAGTAAACAGATCTGTATTACTGTAATAATTAGTATCTCGGATAGAACGTTTGCAAAAAACGGCCATGAGAATTCCCTCCCAGTGTCATCGCCCGTTGGTAATGTCCTCCCGCAAGATCAAGATCATGACCTGAGCTGAAGTCAGATGCTTAACCGACTGAGCCACCCAGGTACCTCTCAAATTCAATTAAGATTTACTGAGTATCTTCTAAGTTTCAGGCATTTTACTAGGTACTTTTGCCTGACAGTCCTATCCAAACTTCATGAACACCATGAAATGAAGCAGGAGGGAGGAGGACCCGCATTTATTAGGCACCAAGTAGTAGATGATATACCATTTCACGTAATCCTCGAATCTTCTGAGGTATGTATTATTTCCACCTTATAGGTGAGAAATCTGCTTAAGATTACGTAGCTAGTTACCAACAAGAATGGGATTGTCAGTTTAAGTCTGACTGTCAATTTAAGTCTGGTGAGCTGCATCTCATACTGCAAATTCTCTAAAATTGAAATGAAAATTCTTTATATGTCAGAACTGCCATTAAGGTGAGTGTAGAAAGACTGAGGGAATGGGATTTTCCCAGTAACCTTATCTTTGAACTTCTCTTTTAGCGCTCCTGAGCTGGATAATCAAGTGTGCTGGACAACAGCCTGTCAGTACTGAAAAGTGTAAGAGAATCAGTCCAAGCTGATTAAAGGCAATGCTGTCCCCAGGGCTTCAGCTGGCTGGTGGGCTTTTTGTTTCGATGTGAGCTGGGATATTTTTTCAGATGTATCCCAGGAAATGAAGACGTTCCGCTGAATGAGAATTCCAGAAACCTGAAGCCGTAGGGAGAATAGACAGAGCCGAAAAGTCAAACTTTCTAAATGGCCGTCTCTTGCCCTGATTCTTTGATCTGACACAGGAAATGCATGAATTCTTATACTATGACTGACCCATTTTTCTTTGTAAGCAGCATCTGGCAAGCTCAATGGAGGATCTGTCTAAGCTCACAGACCAGGGGTGAATTCATAAGCAACTGTATCCCATGTTTATTTTTCTTTGAAAAATGCTATATAAAAGGAGAAAGACCTAACAAGCCAATGTGCAACAACTGAAGAATGGATACATAAAATATGGAATACCTATATAGTGGAATATTATTCAGCAATAAAAAGAAATGAAATACTGATACATGATACACGGATGAACCCTAAAAGCATTATGCTAAGTTCAAAGAGCCAGTCACCAAACACGACATATTTTATGCCTCCGTATGAAATGTTCAGAAAAGGCAAATCTGTAGAGACATAAAGCAGATTAGCTGCCCAGACCCATGGGGTGAGTGGGTAGGATGGCAAGTGACTGCTAATGGATATGGAGTTTCTTCTAGGGGT